GTGACGTCAATGACCATCTCTTTTTTCTGTGGCAGTTCCACTGTAGCCTAGCAGCTGCCAGCACAGACTTTTGAGTCAGGAAGACCTGGGCCAGAAGTGTCTTTCCTTCCTTCACTAGGCACTAGTTCATGGGCAAGTTATTAATAAGCAACAATAATAGCAATAATAGCACCAACTAACATATCCTAGGTGTGCACTGTGACTCAGGCATCCACTGACTGATAAAATACTCACAAGAACCCCAGGAGGTGAGTTACCATTGCCTTTGACTCACAGATGAGAATGCAGAAGCCAAGAGAGGTGAAATGATCTGTCCAGGCTTACACAGTTACAATGTTCAGAAAATAGGCTTCAAACTCAGATAGTTTGGTTCCAGAGCCCATGCACTGACCACTGTGCTACAAGACACTACCTTCTCTGATCCCCTCAGTTTTCTAGTCTGTAAAACAGGGGTCAGAGTAATGTCCTCCTTGTAGGATGGTATAGAGGGTTAAATAAGGTAATAGAAGAGAGGTGTTTAATAATGCAGTGCTTAATAACTCATAGCTGCTGTCATCATAATCACCAGGGGCTGGTTCCAACCCTTCCTTTGACTGAGCTGAGCAGGAAGGGTTGTGGTCTCCTCTCTGTCTCTCACATAATTCCCCACGGTGCCTGGCGCATTTGCCCACAGCAACCTTGAGGTTCAGTCAGTAGCATGCCCACCCAGCCTCAAAAAGATTGAAAAACGGTATAGCATTTTCCTAGAATTTAGAGATACAAGTCCTAGGTAATTCCGGACCTCTGGGCCATTGAGGTTTGGTACTTTTACTGCATTTAGCTCCCTTTCCAAGTCTTAAGATTTTTTTTTTAACTTTTATTTTCAGTTCAGGGGTACATGAGCAGGTTTGTTATATAGGTAAACTCATGTCATGGAGGTTGTACAGATTATTTCGTCACAAAGCTATTAGGCCTAGTACCCATGAGTTATTTTTCCTGCTCCTCTCCCTCCTCCCACCCTCCACTCTCCATTAGGTCCCTGTGTGTGTTGTTTCCTTCTATATATCCATGTGTTCCCATCTTTTAGCTCCCACTTATAGTGAGAACACGCAGTATTCACTTTTCTTTTCCTATGTTCGTTTGCAAAGATAATGGCCTCTGGCTCCATTCACGTTCCTGCAAAGGATATGATCTCATCCTGTTTTTATGGCTATGGCTGCATTGTATCCAGTTTACCACTGATGGGCATTTAGGTTCATTCCATGTGTTTGCTATTGTGAAGAGTGCTGCAATAGGCATACATGTGCATGTGACTTTATGATAGAATGATTTATATTCCTTTGGGTATATACCCAGTAATGGGATGGCTGGGTCAAATGACAGTTCTGTTTTTAGCTCTTTCAAGAATCATCACATTGTTTTCTACAATGGTTCAACTAATTTTCACTCCCACCAACAGTGTGTAAGTGTTCCTTTTTCTCCACAACTTCACCAGTACCTGTTATTTTTTGACTTTTTAATTATAGCCATGCTGACTGGTATGAGATAGTATCTCATGGTGGCTTTGATTTGCATTTTTCTGATGATTAGTAATGTTGCTAGTATCCAGCATTTATAAGGAACTTGAACATGTTTACAAGAAAAAAAAAAACATTAAAAAAGTAGGCAAGGGACATGAACATATATATGACCAACAAGCATATGAAAAAGAAAAGCTCACGGAGCATGGAGGCTATAATTCTTAACAAACTAACACAGGAACAGAAAACAGAATACCGCATGTTCTCACTTTTAAGTGGAAGCCAAATGATAATAACTTATGAACACACAGAATGAAACAACAGACACGGGGGTCTACTTGAGTCGGGGAGAGTAAGAGGAGGGAGAGGAGCAAAAAAGGTAACTATTGGGTACTGGACTTAATACCAGGTGGTGTCATGATATGTACAACAAACCCTGTGACGCGTGTTTATCTATATAACAAACCTTCATAGGTACCCTCAAACCTAAAGGAAAAATGCGAAGGAAGGAAGGAAGAAGGAAAAAAAAGCAAACTCACACCGAGTTCTGTATTACACAATGTGTCTGACGCCTCTTCCTAGGTCTTCTTCGGAATATTTCAACTTGAATTTTTTTTATTACTCTCCTCTCCCCTTTTTCCTGTTCTCCACATTCTTTCTCCTTTGCTCCTCCTGTCCCTCCCTCCTCTCTTCTGTTCTCTTCTCTCCTCTCCCCGCCTTGCCCTCCTCTTTCCTTTCCTTTCTTTTTCTCCTTTCGCTCCCCTCCTTTTCTTCTCTGTTCTCTCCTCTTCCCTCTGCCCCTCTGTCCCCTCCCTCTCCTCCTCTCCCCCTCCCCTCACCTGCTGTGGCTCTGCATTTCACATCTCCAGGAGGCTGGGTGTCATCCCAGGTCTCCAGTCCACAGGCCGGAGCTTCTGCATGCAGGGCCTCTCACCCAGTCTCTCATTCATGGCTCTTGGGTGGTCCTTGGGGTGTAAGTCCTTTACCCGGGAGCACTTCTACCCTATTTGGATTTAGGTTACCCTTGGAGTTAATGGGGCTAATGGTTAAGGAACAGTTTATGGGATGATCTCTCATTCCACCTTTTTGAACAAAGTTGGCATGGATAGAAGCCAGAATTTCCATCTCTCTCATATTCTCTTCCCCATCAAGTGTCCCTACTTCTACATAAGTTTCCTCCAGGAACAGCATCTCTGGTTTCTTTGTAGAAGGAAACACAAAACAAAATAACTCTCCATTTAAAGTACTCTCTCCATGCCTATGCCTGCTAACTTGTGGAATAAGGTATTCTGATTCTGCCCCTGGGGAATTAAACTGCTCTTTAAGTAAACCCAGAAGATAACTAACAAATAATCCTTCAAATTAATAGTGCCTAAAAGATGAAAGTTTCCTTCGTACATCCAGTTTATTATCAGTGGTGCAATTAAATTCTATTTTCTGCTGTGGTTTGAGCACTTCACAGCTTGGGAAGGCTCTCTCCTGAGACCGTTGCAGGGGCAGGCCATCACTTCATAATTAGGTAAGCATGCAGGCCTTGCTGCTGGTAGGGAAGTTTCCGGGTTGAGCTCATAAATGAAACCTGCTCAATGGCCCACAAAGGTAGCAAACACTGCTTCCACCGAGCAGCTGGGACAGGCCCGCAGCAGGGGCTGCCACATGTCTGTAGGAAGAGCCAGCTGTGAAGGACAGCTTCTGGGTTATGGCATCCTGTACCTTATGCTATTGACTTCACGTTCTTGTGGATGATGGTATCTCCGCAGCCACCTCAATTCCCACTCCTCCATTTTGAATTTGTTTCTGACTTTGCCTGCCAGCCCTGCACAGCCTCATTTTCATTTTTCTTTTAAGGCATCCTGTGTAGATGATGCCATAGTGGGCCTGTGGGCCATGACAGGGGCAAAGGAAGCAAAAAGACATGACATTGTAGGCCTTCATAGAAAAGACGGGCCCGGTGTTCTCCCTGATGGGTACTACATGCCTGTGAGTTTGGTTGAAACTTGCCTTGGGGTAGCTCACTGTGTCAGTCACACAGGACCAGACCATAAGAACGGCTGAAGGAGCTGGTTCCCAGCCCTGCCTTTGCAGCCAGGCTGCCAGGGTTGGAAGCCCAACTCCACCGTTTGCTGACTGTATGGCCTTGGAGGAGCTATAGAACCTTTCTGCGCTTCAGTTTTCTCATTGGTAAAGTGATGCTAGCACTGTTTACCTTGTGGGATTGTTGGTGGTTGAAAATGCAACCATGTAAAGTACTTTAACAGTGTCTGAAGCTCAGTAGGTACCCAAGGAAAACTGCCACTCTGAATGCTACACAGCAGTGATTAGCTTTCCAAATGACTCTCAGCAAAGGATTCATGAGAAGCAAGGCCTGCCCTCATCCTGGCCACCTCTTGGACCATTAAAATATGGTCGGCTTTATAAAACTTTGATTTATTTACCACTTTAGAGCAATGTAGTTTAGCAGGATCTGTGCTAATTGCTCTTAATCACTTCAAAAAGATTGTTCTCCAGAGACTAGGGAAGGGCTCTAAGCCTTGTATAAGGGCTGCGTGAGATGTCACTTCTCAGGATCCCTGCTGGAGGCCTGGTTTCCTGTTTCCAGGGCAGGAAGGTGTCTCATGGATGCAGCCACAGATGCCCCCAGAAGTTACAGCTGTGGGTCTGAGAAGTAAGAGCACACGGGCTTCCACATTTGTCTCCAACTCTCATCCACCCTCGACCCTCCTCTGCCAAGTCTCTTGAGCCATTTGGGCAGAGATTTCTGGTGACCACTGGAGAGACACCATGAAAACTACTGATCAAACAGGCAAAACAAACCTATGGTGATAAAAATCAGAAAAGTTATTATCTTGGTGATGGTCCAGGGGGTTATTGGCTGGAAAAGGCACAAGGGAAATTTCTGGGGTGTTGAAAGTCCTTCATTTCTTCATCTGGCTTCTGGTTGCAAAGTACACACACATACAAAATATGTATATTCTGATCTGTAAAACCTACTGTCCACAATTATACCTCCATGAACAAATTACTGTCCAACATGTTGCAGGCAGTTCATCTATCTCTTACGACATGCCTGACCCACTTTATTCTTGAGACACTGAAAGTTCTAAGTATCTGCAGCCATTACACGTCTTTATCTTCCTCCACAAGTGTGTTTATACCCACAGCTTATATTTATATCTGCAGCCACATCTATATATTTAAATCTGGAGAGGAGAGAAAAGTGTTACATGTATGTGTCTATATATAGGGCAGTTTACTTCTTTCAAAGAACAAGAGGATCCTAGCACTGTTTTTTTTTTTTTTTTTTTTTTTTTTTTTTTTAAGCAGGATGTTCATTCACACACACATGCATGCACACACACACACACACACACAAGCAAATATATGCACATTCATTTACGCATGCACACACGCACACACACACACACAAGCACACACATGCACACGTGAATGCTAAATCTGGGTGCCTTTCTCTCTTTTCTAAGTTGAGACGTTAAGACTGACCTTGATGACGACCTCAGGGATTATTAGCACGACGGACTTCTGCTTGACCAGAACATCTCTGGTCTCATTGACTCGAGCTGTGACAAAGAAGTGCAGGGACGCCTGTTCCAGCAGCTGACCCATGTACTCGCCAGCTCGGATCAGCACCTCCTCTTTCTTGACTGGCAGGAGGAAACACACAGAGACCTGGCATCAAGACTTGAGTCAGGGTCTGCTTTACTTTTCCCCAAGTTTCCCCATCCTTCCCACATTAGCCTTGAAGCCACCAGGAGCACAGCAAAGGTAAGGGGCAAGTGGAATGAAGAGTCAACTGGGGATAAGCTGTCCTGCTTCTTTGGTAAAGAATGTGCTGGGAATTTAATATTCACTGAAGTCTTACTGGAGAAAATGTGTCAAACTTACTAAACAGTTCTTTTGCTGTTGTAAAAGAAATGCCATGGAAAAGATGTGATTTTCATGGCAAAGAAACACCAAGGGTTTTTAATGGTGGCTTTGATTTGGGCTGGGGTAATCCCCAAACGGAACATGTTGGGTGCAAATGGAACATGAAATCCAAGGTCACGATTCCACCTGCAAATCCCTTGTTGAATAAGAATTATCTCACCTAGACCATGGGCCACACTAAGACAAAACTGTCAATTCCCTAAACATTGTTTCTATAGCATTCCACATTTTCTCTCTAATCTGAGATCATAATTTTTCTATTTAAGAGAAGGAAGCTGTTGAAACCAGTTTCTAACAAAGGCATTCAACTATCTCCAAACCTCTGTTTGTGATTTAGAAGACCTCTGTCCCAAACAATTGTTTTCTCAATGGAAACCAGTCACTGATGTCAGATTTCTAGGTCCTGGGGACAAGCCAATGAGAATGGCATTTGGAGGATGGGGAGTGGCCCTGGCTTTCCTCCAATTACCATCTGGGCTGAAGATGTGAAGATGATGAGTTCTATCTCATGGCTCTGGTTTACTTTCTTTCAACTCCCATTTCCCACTGTCCAGGATTCTAGAGGGCAATGGGCAGTTTTTCTGCACACTGAGCCCAGGTGTGTACCCGCTGCTACTTGGTCAGAGCCAGATGCTTTCATGTGCTGACAGCTGGCAGACCCAGCAGATGAATGGGTGGCTCATTCCTCCATCCCCAGCCACAGGGAACAGACTCTATGAACCTTCACAGAACTGAATATCTGTTCTGCTTTCCTTCTCAATGTCTGGCTTTTGCCAAAGACTTCTCCTTCCTGTGGAAGTGACCGAAGAAAACAGCTTCATGACCAACAGTTTGAGTGCAGAGGGTCATTCATGTTAGCCTGCTATACTGAACAGCAGTTTCGTAGGAGGGTGGAGTGCCTATGGATGTGCATGCACCAGAGCAGAGGGCAGGGCCCCTCACTCCCCACTGCTTAAAGGTGTGGGTTCCCTGAGCCATGCCCTTCATCTGTGGGACGAAATTCTCACACCTGCACTGGATCTGCAGCAATTTGCGCTGGGCCTCGAAGACCAAGAGACACGGAAGGCCTCTGCCTTGGCAGTACTTCTATTTGGAAGTCTCTTTACAGATATACAAATGCTGTGCCTGCTTCCAAGCCTTCTGACTGAAGACTTCTCAATCTTGGGTCCATATCACAATCACCTGGGGACCTTTAGAAACCTGCCATGCTGGATCTCATTCCAGGCCAATTAAATCAGAGACTTGGAGGAACCAGACATCTGTATTTTTAACAGCTCTGCAGCTGACTCTGATGTGCAGCCAGGGTTGAGAGGGCCCGCTCTGACAACCAGGGGCATTCCTGCAGAATCGGCCCTGCAGAAGGCCTGGGTTCCAGTGGGAGGGATGGCTTTCCAGGCTAGGTCCTTGTCATTCCTCCTGTGGTCTGAAGACCAGCAGCACCACCATCACCTGGGAGCTTGTTACGCACACAGGTTCTCTGACTCCTCACTGCACCACTGAAGTCAGGAATCTTTTGAATAAGATTCCAGACAACGCCTTTTCAAGTATGAGATGCTCTGAGAGACAGGAGGTTCTAACAGCAGAAGGGGTAAGTCAGTGCAGAATTAGGGTGGATTGAGGACTGCCTGGGTTTTAAATTGAAAGGCCTGTATCCTGGGAACCCCATCAGTCCCTGGAAAACTCAAAAGGTTGGTCATCCTAGACTAGTAGTTGTTAATAGCAGGCACTGTTATCCCCAGAGTACATTTTGCAATGTCTGGAGAACTTTTTGATTGACACAACTGGGGTGGAGGGTGGATTACTACTGGGATCTGGTGGATAGGGTTCAAAAGTGCTGCTAAATATCCCATGATGCACAGGATAGTACCACAACAAAGTATCCAGCCCACAATGTCAGTGGTGCTGAAATCAAGAAACCCTGCACTAGGGCAGGTGGATTATTAGAGTGTATTGGTCTATTTTAGCCAAGTATTAAAGAGCTAGCTTTGTTGGCTTGATTCCTGGGGCAGCGCTATTCCATTTAAATCTGGCTCTTTAAAGCTATGACCTTGCCTTGACCTTGGCCCCCAGGTCTTGCCTTCTGGAATGACCCACTCGTGTGCCTCTTTGGACCTAGGCCTGGACCTTGCTTCCTCCATGGCTCCCCTTGCAACTCATTGTCCAGATGAGTGAGGTTCTGGCCCTGTACTGGTGACGGCCTCAGATGAGCACAAATGGTCAGTTTGTCATGTCTCCAGATAGGATGGATGAAGTGGCAAAGTGGAAGGTCTCGAAGAACATGTATTTTGCCTCTAGCTGCCTCTAATAATAATATAAAAAACTGGCTTCCTGTGACTGTTTCTAGAGGACTGTGTTTGACCACTGGATTTATTTTGGCTACTGGAATACGACTTCTTTACAGAAGCTCTTGCTACCTTTATAATCTCGGTATCAGGACCCCTTTCTTCTCTGAGACAGAACACTCCCTAAACCATAGCACCAAAGAAACCAGGCTGTGCTTCAGAGCCCAAGAGAACAGTGCTTCTGAAATAGTATGTTATGTAAGTGCTGTGTTTTGCCACTGCACAAGAAATTGTTCTAGATAAAGTTTATTAAACGTGGCAAGAGAAGGAGGAATAGATTTTCACTCTGTGAGTGGTGGGGCTGGGATGCTGCCAATATCATTTACGGTGTCTGGGGAAAGCCAAGGGAGACACAGACTGGAGCTGCCTCATCTCTTTTCCAAAAAGCAAAGAAAACTAAATATAGCCAAGTGGAAATGATAGCACCTTTGAAGGTACTGAGAGGTTTAAGTTATTCAGATCTCCCAAGCTGATTCTAGCACACGCATTCCCTTTAATCATCAATCTGGAAAGTATGCCTCCCATTCTACTTGGAAAACTTTCTTTGCAACAGAGATGTCTAAGAATGCTTGATCAAGGCCTAAATGCATGTGGCTTTTTGCAATCTACCACAATTTATTTTAGATTTCAATTTTCAATTCATTGCATGCAGTGAATGCCACCTGCCTGCAGGGCAAAGGAACAAAGAGTCTCCAGTTCCCTTCAAGTTATTCAGGACAAGCTGGGGCTGGCCAAGTGAGTGGGAGATGTGTTCCTATGGACTCAGGAGTAGGTTCGGTCAGCTGTCCCTAGATCAGTGACTGAGAGAATGATATCATTCTACTCACCCATACAAGCTCATTCTTTAATTGGATTAGAGAGGGAAGGGGAAGGAGGTTATGAGACAGGACTCTTGTGAGGTGGGAAAAGGGCTGGCATTTGGTTCTTTGTCTAAGGATCTGTGCTGGACTCCAGGTAATGGGGGCACAAGGAAGGGAACTGGCCCAGTTGAGGCCAAGTTTACCCTGAACTGGCTCTCTGTCGCTGCTATTATCTATTACCTTATTGAGCACACAGATCGCCTCTCATTGCTGTGTCGGGTCTTGAACAAATCGACTCATCTTTCTAGCTTCAGTTTCCCCAAATGCAAACATGCTGAAAGTCACCATTTAATGAGAGTTTACCATGTGCCAAACACTTCACATGTGTCACTCATTTGGTGTCCTCCACACCTTCCTTCTCTCACACCACATGTCTGATCTATCAGCCAATCAGGTGGGCTCGACCTTTAGCACATGCCCAGATCGGGCTAGTTCTTGCTGCCTCCATCACTACTTTTAGCACCTCTCAGTGGAGTGATTGCAGAAGCATCCTACCAGTCTCTAAGCTTCAGCCCTGCTTCATCTTCAATCTCTTCTCAATGGAGCAGCCAGTGATCTTTTCAAAACCTAAATTAGATTATGCCACATTTCTGCTCAAAACTCTCTAAAGGCTCCTCTGCTCACTCAAAATAAAAACCAAAGGCTTCATAAAGGCCTACGATTCTTTATATGGCCTGTACCCAGCACTACCCCCCTTGCCACCTTTGATCCTGATTCTGGCTACTTGCTCATTGAACACATCTGACATGCTCTGGCCCCAGGGCCTTTGCACGTACAATTTCTTCTGGCTGGAATGCTCACTTTTGACCTTCATGCAGGTGTCTGTTTAATGTCTCCCTATTAGAGAGGTGTTTTTTTTCTGACCACCGCCACAAGAATTCCCTGTTCGCCTTAACCTGCTTTGCATCTTTCTATTACCTACATGGCTATACTATAGAGTCACTTGTTTGTTTGTTTATGTCTGGTTCCCCCTGAGATCAGAAATTCAGTAAGGATAGGCATTGCTGTGTCTCCAGCATAAAACAGAATCTACTTGCAAGTACTGAATAAAGGGTTGGGAAATGAATCAAGAGCCCTGTGGTGTAAGTGGTATTGTTCCCCTTTGCAGCTGAGGAGAAAGTGATCAGAGTGTTTAAGTAACCTGCTCTGGAGACACGGAGGTAGGTGACATAGTCATTGCTTACACCCAGAGTTCTCTATTTGCAAAACTCTCTGAAATCGAATGTGGCTGCCTGTTTTAAACAATCTTGATGACTGTTGTCTTCCTCCTTTATCCTGACTATTCTTTTCTGGGAAAATTACCTTTACCACCTTAGGAATAGGAAAAGTGTCAAATTTTTTAGTTTCCAAAGAAAACACTGTGGTGATTTCTTATTTATTTATTTATTTGAGATGAACTCTTACTTTATCCCCCAGGCTGGAGTGCAGCGGTGTGATCAGCTTACTGCAAACTCCACCTCCTGGGTTCCAGTGATTCTCCTGTCTCAGCTTCCTGAGTAGCTGAGATTACAGGCATACTCTACTACGCCTGGTTAATTTTTTGTATTTTTAGTGGAGATGAGGTTTCACCATGTTGGCCAAGCTGATCTCAAGCTCCTGACCTCAGGTGATCCACCCACCTCAGCCTTCCAAAGCGCTGGGATTACAGGCGTGAGCCACCATGCCCAGCCCCACTATAGTGATTTCTTAATTTTTAGCTCCATTACTGAAGCTAGGGAGATTTGCTTCTTTCAAATTTGAGCAAGTTCCTTGGAATTAGGATTTTTAAATATCGTTTTGCATTTTTCTGGGAACATTTTCTGAAACCTCAGCAAGGGTACCATGCTCTGTGACAGCCACCAAATCCGGAGAGCTTGAGAGCAATTGAGACTTGTGGCTTGGCCATCCCAGGGGACTGTGTTCGTTTTGCTTGCCTTTGCTTTGTCAAAATTGTTGTTTGCACACTTTTCTTTTCAGTGCCACATGCCAGGCCAACAGAAATTGGTGCCCCAAAGTATTGAGGTCCTTTGCAACCTGCTCTAACTCATGCTCTGCCTGGAGACCAGTTTCTTCCAATTGATTGGTGTTGCCTGTCATGTGGTCAACTATTGCGCCCACCAAATATGAACACCCCAGGAAGTGTGATTGTTGGCCATTGTGATCCCCAAGGCAAGCTGCAACATGTGGACCCCGATCTGCTTAAAATGTTCTGAGGTTTTATAGTGATGAAAATGCTGGGAAGGATGTTTATGCAAGGACAAGAAAGAGGCCCCACGAGAGATGGCAGAGGCAGAAAACTCCTTCACGGGCCTCTTCCAGATGATACATCTTTGTCTCCAGTCTCCTTTTGTTTTTGAGATGGAGTCTCGCTCTGTCACTCAGGTTGGAGTGCAGTGGTGTGATCTCGGCTCACTGCAACCTCCGCCTCCTGGGTTCAAGTGATTCTCCTGCCTCAGACTCCTGAGTACCTGGGACTACAGGTGCCCGCCACCACACCTGGCTAATTTTTGTAATTTTAGTAGAGAAGGGGTTTCACCATGTTGGCCAGGCTGGTCTTAAACTCCTGACCTTAGGTGGTCCACCCACTTTGGACTCCCAAAGCTCTGGGATTAACAGGTGTCAGCCACCACGCCCAGCCAGACACAGCATTTTTAGAAGTGGTCTATGTGCAGTGCCTAGATCTCCCTGCCTTCTGAATGGGAAAGCAAAGCACACCTTTCGTTCTGGACAGCCCGCAAAAGACTTTCCTAACTTGGGAGAGAGGCACCAGCAGAGGGCCTGTTTCTGAGATGGGTCATTTAGATCCATGCTCCACAAACCCTCCTGTACAAAATTAGCTGGTTGTGGGTGCACGCCTGTAATCCCAGCTACTTGAGAGTCTGAAGCAGGAGAATTAAACCCAGGAGGCGGAGGTTTTAGTGAGCCAAGATCGCGCCACTGCACTCCAGCCTGGGTGTCAGAGCATGATTCCGTCTCAAGAAGAAGGAGAATGAAAAGGAGAAGAAGGAGGAGGAGGAAGAGGAGGAGGAGGAGGAAGAGGAGGAGGAAGAGGAGAAGGAGTAGGAAGAGGAGGAGGAAGAAGAGAAGGAAGAGGAAGAGGAGGAGGAAAAGGAGGAGGAGGAGGAGGAGGAGGAGGAGGAGGAGGAGGAGGAGGAGAAGGAGGAGGAGGAGGTGGTGAAGAAAGTGGAGACTTTTAAAGAATAAGTGAGTTCCCCCTGTGAGGCTTATACTTCCGAGGTCTTGGTGAGAACTTTAACTTTGACATAAAGCTATAATGGGCATGAACACGTAGCAAGACAGGGGCCAGACAGCAGGTCTAAGAGAGAACCACAGTGCTGTTAGCTTACAGGACAAGGGCTCCAGCATCACGCTGAACGTCTCCTTCTTGAATTCTGCCTTCGAGACCCCGGTGTAGAAGATAATGTTGGCTGAGAGATAAGCTGTGGTGGAGTAACGTCTGTGGCTTTTGTTCTGGAAGGTGATGGTAAGCTTCAAGTCTTGTCCCAGCACAGCATTTTCCACTTCAAAGTCCATGTCAACATTGGACCTCGATTTGATGACACCTTCTGTGTTGAAGGGCTTTCTAACTCCGTACATTAGGGCAGTTTCTAGGGCCAGTCTCTCTTCTTTTTGACCTGGGGAAGACCCAGAGATAATGACAGGGAAAAATACAATCCACCAGAGAGAAAGTCACATTAAAGGATGCATTGTATACTGCACTTCTTGGGGTGTTTCTAAAACACAAGCTTCAGAGCTCCCCAGGAAGCAGGTACCCTCATTAATCCTATGTTATAAATTCTGCAAAGTCAGATTCCCAGAGAGCCAGTGGCCAGCCTAGGCTGTGAGTTAGCAGGTGACAGTGTTGGGACCTATTTAGAAAGGGGTTTCTCTGGAGGCACTATTTTAGGAGTTGGCAGATAAAATTGGCCATGTCTGTCTCTTCTTAAACCGTGGTGTTGGTTTGCTTCCCTTCCTTAGCCCTAGCCATGTGGTTAGAATTTGGGGACGTCTAATAATTAGAAATTACGGCCTCTTGCCATTCTACCTCCTGAAATGTAACTTTTCTCTCTGATTTGTAAATCCTCTCCAGTAAGACCTGTCTTCTTTATGTCTCCTTCCACTTGGGCCTGTTCTACTTGCTCTTTGCTGAGCCGACCCTGGAGGGCTCCTGCTTCATTTTTCCTTACTTTCCTCAATTGCCATTGCCCCCAATACCCATGCCATGGCAGAAGGCAGAAATCACTTTTTACCAAACCTCGCATCCCCCAGTCCCCAAGGACACTGGGCTCCAGTAAGACATCAAAAAGCCAACCCTACCCAAGGCACTCAGGTCAGATCCCTTGGAGGGGCACTAGTGGTCCAGCGTCTCCTGGGGATGTTCTCCACCTTCATTAGGGATTAGAGATTCTAAGTGAAGCCCAGGAGCAAAGACACGTCTTTGCTTTTCTTTACACAAGGCCTCCCGAACTCATCTGACACTGACTGCCGTGTTGTGAGGGACATCTGTTGACATGCAGTGGTGCACCAAAGTTCTAATGAAGTTTGAGGTGTATGTGCTGTTTTTCAGGAAGACGTTTTGTGCAGGGTTTCCAACATGGCTGTGGCAGAGATGAAGGGAGGAAGAGGAAGGTAAGCTCTGGAAGAAGAAAACCACAGCGTTGTCTAGGTGAGGAGGCAGAAAATACAGACACAAGGCAGGCCTCAGAGGGAGCTTGTGCCTCAGACACTGAGGAGCTGGGAAGATGGTCCTTACAAAGCCTTGGACAAAATGCTTGGCTTTGGAAACAGGGCTCGTGCAGATGTGAGGGACGGTTGGTGATCGCCATCCTTTTTTCCATCCTAAATACCTTTGGGTTTATCTTCGTGCGTCCCTAAGGATAGAGATGAAAAGATGAAGGCAAATTCCTTGGCTTGTAAAAACTAGGCTTGAGAATGGCTAGTGAAAAAAAAATCACTTTAAAATAAGAATGCTAGCTTTTATAATTATGCCACTTTGAAGGTATTGTCTTCTACTTTATCCAGTTAATAACGAACTTCACTGGTGACTGAGAGGTCAATGAATCGTAATATGTGCTAGCTATGTGCCAAGCACTGGGATAAGTGCTTACTGTGCATTGTGTCATTTAATTCTCGTAACAGCTCTACAAGACAGGCACGATTGTCACCGTCACTTTCCTTGTTTGTAAAATAAGGGTGTCTACGTCCTAGGTTTCCTTAGGTGAATTAGAGGTAGTAGATACATAATAAATGGAAACTACTCTGCAAAGACAGAGAAAATGCTGGAAGGCATTGTATACAAATGTGAATGTGGATTTGTACCTGTTTGTGTATGTGTGTGTGTATTAATGATTTCCCTGATTGTCAAGACTGCAAGAATGTGCCAGGAACAGTTGGTCTAGGACAAGCATCGGCTGGAGCACTAGAGATAACAAAAAGGGAAGGAGGGGTGAGGACAAGCGAAGCACAGTGTAACATTTTAGCAGAAATCATCTGGCCTATAGATCCGTGAGAAAGAGAGCATTAATGATGATCACTTTGGATGGGGGCCAATTAGCATTGAGGCAAAATGCAGGAGGCAAATTCTAGCAGCAGGAACATATCAGAGAGGGGCTGAGCTGGCCAAGGTGAGGGGAATGGGAGAAGAATGAGGCCAGCTCTGAGCACCTTCACAGCCTGCCATGGGTGGAGGAACCTGGAGCTTCCTTCTGGGGAAGTGCTGGCCTTTGTGAGCCCGGGACTGCCAGGCAGAGACAGGCTGGGGCTGTTCCAGGAAGTGCGGCTCAGAGAGGGGAAAACAACTGCAGGGCTTTCCCAGAGCCTGGCACAGCAATTCCCGTTTCTCTACAGTTCTGCTCCGTGCTCCAGAGTCTTACATAATTCAGGGCCACAGGCAACATTTTAGTGCTATGAGAGATTTATCCAAAGCCTGATTATATTTGCTGAGATTCTTCTGCAACTTCTGAGTGCAAAGTCAAAAGTATCTTTCCATTAAGTAGGATATAGTAAAAGAGACTTTTGATGTTGGTCGAAGCATCTTCTCATCGTTCTGGCTTTAGCTCCACTGTCACCTCCCCTGCCCTCCCCCTCTTACCTTGTGTAATGTGACCCCAAACCCTAGTCCTCTTGGCTCTCCCTAACACATAACCGGCTTTATTTCCTCTTCCTTGTCACAGTACTAGTTATTGTGCGACATTGTCTTCCCTGCTGGAACGCAAGCTCCATGAGAACAGGGACGTGGTATCCCTTGTCCACCTCTGCATCCCCAAGCCCTGAAAGGCAGCCTGGCACAGAGGATCTGAAGGATTGAGGTTTGGAGAAGCACATTGCTTTCAGCCAGTGACAAAACTTTCCTCTTCATAATAGGTACTAAATAGTCCAGTATAGGACATTTTATGTTCTCCACCCAGCTGAGAAAGTGCCTCCCCAGTAACCATTCATTCAGATCATCTCATGCTTTGGAGACCCCCATAGTGTTCCAAACAGCATGCTAGGCACCAGGCATAGAGGGGAGACACAGTCTTTCCCTCACAGGTGCAGAAGGAACAAGAGAAGAACAATCTTAGCACAGATGTCCTCACCACAGATGCCGGGACAGAGGTTGGCCTGCAGTGCCTGGGGACATGGTGGGGCAGGGGAGGCTTTTCAGAGGTTTGGGGAGGGAGGCAAAGCCAGGGAGGTAGGTGAGGAGTTGGCTGGTTGGAAGAACTGCCAGCAGGTCCCTGGTCTCTGCATACAATACCTGTGGGGCATGCTCAGGGGGTGCACCAACCAGATGCCAAAAAAACACTTAGCAAGAGGCTTTGTGAGTTAGGATTGGATGCCCTGGAGGCCACAGAGAGAGAGGGGGAGGCTTTTAAGTAGCGCTGGAGCAGGCTCAGGTTTATATTTCAGATACTACTTTAGCAGCAAGGCGGGGGCTATACTGAGGGAGGGAGGGCCTGAGGAGTTAAGGTGGAGTTGGGAAGCTAGAGCAAGTATTTTTCCAGGAGAAAACTAATCATAGTCAAACTAATAGATGTAGCATGGCAGGAATAATAAATTTAATAGTAATAGGGGAAACTTTTATTGGACACTTATTATGTGCCAGGCACTATATTAAGAGTTTTATACATCAGATAATGTTTAATTTTTAGGCTCTCTAGCTGGAGGGGAGGTTAGGCATTTGAGAATGATTTCAGAGGGGACTTTAGAGGGCGTGTTGCTTGACTCATTATTAAATAGCCGAATTTGTGGATGGTGGCTCCCTTCAGCAGAGTAGGGGGAGTAAGAGAAAGAGACCTGAGGGAGGGAGAGGTGATATTTGGGAAGTTCCGTGTCAGGTTCCTCTAGGACATTTAGGTAAAGTCCTGGTGGAGACAGACATGAGGTGATCAGTATACACGTGAACATTAACACCAGCTATGTGAGAAGAATATAAAGTGGATGGGATTGAAGCCCAAGGACAGATGCCTAGAATCAAGTGACATTTGAAGGGGGTGAAGAAAGGTGAAAAGCTTAGAGTCACAGAGAGAGAGAGAGGAAGAGAGGTCAGGGAGGTGGGGATGGAACCAGGAGAAAGTAACATTGTGGAAACAAAGAGAAGAGAAAATTGCAAGGAAAGAGAGTGAACACCAGCACCAGGAAGCGTAGGAAGGTCAAGTAAGCTGAAGTCTGCAAAACGTTTCTTCCCCGTGACAACTGGGTGGTCTTGGCAACTTTGAGAACAACTTCAAGGGTATGCTGGTAGCAGAAATCAGGACGGAGTGTGTGCGGGAGTGGAGAAGGAGCACAGCAGGACGCAAGTCTAGGCAGCGCTCCAGGACGGCAAGGAGGCGAGGAGGAAGAAAGAGTGGTGAGAAAGATTTTTGTAAATTTTTTTTTTTAACGCAGCAGACATTTGAGCTTGCCGAAATGCTGATTGGAAAGAGAGAATAGAGAAGGAGAGATGGAAATACCAGTGACCCGGGGAGTAACTGATGGAGCAGAGAGGGAATGGGATCAAGACACCTTGATCAAAGAAGATATATTGCCACGGAAGTCTTTGGAATGCTGGTTTTCAAAGTCATTGTTTCTTAATTGGATATTTTGAAAAAAAAAAACGTTATAAAATTAATAATAAACTTCAATAAGTCGAAGTGAAAAATGATCTTTCCATGATTTAATTCATTAAAATGGTTAATTCTTGAATCTAGTAATGATTTGTTTCATGTGATTCTACTCATTTCCATATTTTGGTGTCTACATTCAGCATTTGTGGATCAGGGAAATTATGAGAGATTCAACAGTGAGAATCAGGGTGGTAAGCACCGAGCCACAGGCACAACGAGCCCTCACTGCAAGCCAGTGGCCAACAGTGGCAATCAATCCCTCTATCCCACTATATTCAGATGCAGTATTGGTGTTTTTCTCCAAACAACTCTCTACTCGGTCATTTCCAAAGTTCCAGTTTGAAATGTGTGTGCCACCCTTGATTAAGAAACTGATTATCCACTTGGGGTCAAACTCCAGCCCAGAAGCAGGATGAGATGTCTCTTACAACCATCTATGTGGATTTAGGGATTCTTCCAGTTGAACCAGATCCCCAAGCTGTCCCTCTCCCTCAGCCCTGCCTCTTTGCTAAACTCTAAAGACCTGCACCTCAGATGTCTTCCTCATGTAGTATGCACACTTTTTGTTTTGATTTGCTGTCTACCCCCAGCCAAGCCTCTGACTCCTCTTTCGTGGAGTTTTGGTCTTTCCTTTCGTGGCATCTGATTCTGTCCCATTCCTGAGTTAGCCGTCACTGTCACTTCCATGCTGACAGTTAATGGCAGCTGTGCTCAGCCCCGTGGTTTCCACGACACATCTGTCGTGTAGACAGCTCGCTTCCTGCTGCTCCTCGCTGCCTGTGGGTACACCTTTTGTTCACTACTCTGTCCGGTTAGGACTTCTTCCAAATAGGAGAGTTCACACCACAATCCCTGCCTTGCTGCCTTTTCTTGGGGATCTCTTTCCCCAGCTTCACCTGCTGATTCTTGTGTGTCCTTCGGGCTTAGTGAGCCCATCACTAACTTCCTCCATGAGGCCTTCCCCAACTGCCGATTCTCAGCTGGGAGTCCTTCTCTGTGCCTGGCAGCACCTGTCCAACCTGTGCTACAGCAATTCTCATCCAGCACAGCGAGGACTGCCTTCTGCTTCTCTCCCCAGCTGCATGGGAAGGCAGGGCTGTGCATGTGTCCAGCTCTACACAGCACTGGAAGATGGTAGGTGGTAAGAGCCAGCTGTTGTGTGGATGAATGTATAAATGAGTGAATGTTGCAGCTAGCTTTTCTATGAACTTTTTTGTTTTTTTTTTTGTTTTTGTTTTTTTTTTTTTTGCTTATAACTCTATAGTAAGAGGGCATTGCTTGTTTGTTTTGTTTTATTTGCACTTACATTGTTTTAAATTTTCCTTTAAGCGAAAAGGCAAATGACAAAAAGAAATACCACCTTTGTATCTGTGTTGTGCAATGGATGATAATAAACAGAAGAGGAAAAGGAAGCATTTCAAAAATACAGTGAGAATTCACTAGTTCAGATAATAAAAAAATGTCTGACTTTCTGAGACTATGCACAAGTGTTCTCAATTCAGCAAGCTTCTTCTTTATAGTGCAAATTACTTTTGTAAATAAGAGCAGGGAGACTGTCTAAAATATTTAAAACAAATTCTGCACTCCTTAGCACTTCACGGATTCCAATGAATATTTAGGCATATGCTAATTGCTTGTTATTTTTATCCATTCACTAAAATAAATACTCCTAAGAACCTCTGGCAGTGAATCATTTGCAAACTATTCCATGTTCCCCATCAAGGCAACTGAGGTCCTCCACCTCCTGGCCACTGCTGGCCTCCGGCAGTTTTGTCTCCAGTCAGGGGGCATTCTGCGCCTGCAGGACCCTAAACATACCTGGCTGCTTCACACCTCATAACTCTGGTCCTGTTCCCACTGCCTGGAAACTTCTGCCCAGCTTTCTTTATCTGAGGTCCATGACTTCTCAAGTCTTTCTTTTTCTGAATTAGTTGGGCTAAATGTCCCTATTTTTTTTTTGTTTCCAAAAACCTCTTGCACAATAACCCTTTCACTTGGACCAGGACAGGAACTGGGTCCTGCTCACTGCTGGGATCGCCAGCACCAAACCAATTGCAGGCACAGAGTGGGCACTCAGCACTGATTGACATAGAACTAAGCTCAGCAGTGCCATTTGAAGCATTCTATACAATAAAAGTTAACAAAACCCCACCATGACATTATTTTATAATTGAAACTGGCCTTTGACATGATTGTCCTGAGTTAGAGAGCTTGTACTCTCCTATTAATATTGTATCATCTACCTTATAGTTTTCTATGATAGTGTAACAGAACAACATATGTGAAAATAATCGGTAAGTACTAAACAAATATGAAGTGGTTATTTGAATTTCTCTTATTTAACTAAAATTACATTCGTTGTACAGTGTTTTTTAAATAGGATTATTTAAAATCAAGGTTTTTGTAAGCAAGAAGATATTCTATATTCTGTTAAAGTAGATATGACTTTAAACCAAATCATTTCACAAGCCACATGGATGAGAATTCTGCCCAAAGCAAGCTAGCAAAGAAAGCCACAAGGAAAAATTGCATATGTTATGTGTCTTTCACGCATGAGAGTTTATACTTCTGCTGTTGCTACCAAATGTTGCAGATGCCAGTGCATTCTCTGGAACTCGTCTCCGAGTGGCAATGAATAAGTACTAAATGAACTTGGGCAAATAAATCTTCATTCAGTGGTAGTAAATTACCTTCTTGGAATTTGTAAGTATCAGTAATATCCTTCATGCCATCTCCTCCAATTTGTTTTGTCACAATTAATTTCCCAATGTGGGTGGGATCCACAGCTTCTACCACATGAGTGCCATCTTTCTTAGCTGTAATGTAAATGAGGTCGCTGTTGACCTGGAAACAGGAGAGGAGAGCATTAGCCACGACCACTGTCTGTTGTTGCTAAAGTCTTTAACTGTCCATAGCACAGTTGTCTAGAGATCTCTGGAGCTGACATGCCCTCTTCTTAGGCAACATTGGATTCGTATTATAGGGACAAATGGGTTTTGAAAATATTCTAAGGGGGAATATCCAGTTTATTTAATAATATTTTAAATAAAGGTTATTTGAGGCCAGGCATGGTGGCTCATGCCTATAATCCCAGCACTTTGGGAGGCCAAGGCAGGTGGATCATGAGGTCAAGAGATCAAGACCATCCTGGTCAACATGATGAATCCCCGTCTCTACTAAAAAATACAAAAATTAGCTGGTCATGGTGGTGTGTGCCTGTAGTCCCAGCTACTCAGGAGGCTGAGGCAGGAGAATTGCTTGAACCCAGGAGGCGGAGGTTGTGGTGAGCTGAGATTGCACTATTGCACCCCAGCCTGGGTAACAAGAGCAAAACTCCATCACAAAAAAAAAAAAAAAGGTTATTTGAGGCTGAGAAAATAAGTTGTCTAAGCAGCAACATTTTTTTTCTCTCCACTGTCTTCCTGATAAATCCTACCTCTCAAGGGACAGAAGACAACACCATGCCACCATGCCCATCGCTTGCTTCCCTGGACTTTTTCGGGCTAACAGTGGCTATATGACCTTCTGCCAGGAGGAAGAGGAAGTCTGTGAGGTGCCTTCTGGGAAACACTTTTCCCCTTTGAAAAAGGAGAGAGGTACATGGATGAGTTTTGTCCTTCCCTTTTGGCTTTCAGGTGTTTTCTGGTGAAGCAAAGGGATGCTTGAAGCTGCTGTGGTTATCGTGAGACAGTGAACCGAACACTGCCAACAATGAGAAGGTGGCAGAGTAGAAAGCCGAGGGGCGTTTGGAGATTGGGGGACTTAATGATGCTAAGCCAGCCTCAGGACCACCTGCTTCAGGATTTCTTATATGAGAAAAATGAGTCCCTATCCATTTTAGCCACATTAGTTCTGCCACTTGAAGCCAAAAGTATTTAAATTGAACAATAATATTAGATGATCTAGGAGGAATTCAGGCTATTTTTTAGTGGTTCAGCAACTAAAATGTGCTATTTGCGGGACTTGGAAGTAGTGTCACGGGGCCATGCTGGCTGCCCCCAAGCTCTCCCAAGAGTCTACTTTACCATTCTACTTTCTAGAGACAATGACTAATGTGTGCCTGAAAGCTGACTGTACCAGAGTCCTTTCTTAACATATTTTACAATCCACTTTCTTGAGGGTTCCATTTATTAGCATGGAAGCAGGTAGGAAGCATGAATTGTGCTGCTAATAGTCATGGATGTATTTACTAAATGTTTCCCAAGCTCCTCTGCAAGCCTCAGTGACCTAGTGTTTAAATAGGGTGATAATAACTCCTTATTCATGGGATGATTGATAGAATTAACAGAAACAAATGCATGTATATTACTTATCACAGTATCTGGCATAGAGTAAATGTTCAATAAATGTTATCAAAAACAATGTATTATTTAATAGTATTGCCAGATATTGTTCCAAGATTCAGAATCCTAATGATGAGCAAAATAGATTTGGTCACTTCCATTATAGAGTTTGTGCTCTAGTAAGCATGAGTCTGTGCACCAGAATCACCTGGTAGACTTTTTAAAAAATAGATGCCTGATTAAGGAGGTGGGACCTAAATCACGTGGGACCCTAAATCCATTACATTTTACAAAAGGTCTCAGATAATTCTGTTGGACATTCAAGCTTGAGAAGCCCTGTGATACAATACAGTAAGTACCCTGAAAGAGTAAGTACAAGATACTTTGGGAGCACATGGCTCATTGGGGTCGGGGGTTGGCTAAAATGCAACAGCCAAGGTGAAACCTAGATGGCATTTGAGAGGAATGCTGGATTCACTGCAAGAAACCTGGGTTCTGATAGTGGGTGTGTCTTGTAGAAAGTGTATGTTAATCTCTATGAACTTCAGTTCCTGATTCTATAAAATAAAAATGCTTAAACTTGTTCTGCCAATTTTATGGGAGCATTTTAGGTTGAAGTGAGATAAGATCTATGTGAACATGACTTGTAAATTTCAAATTTGGGTAAAAATATAATAGACATCATTAGGTAATTAATGGGGAAATTTGAAGATGCATCTCTAAGTTTTAAGGTTGAGGTTAAAGAGAGCAATTTTACTTTCTCACAAAATGTTCTGAGTGCACATGAAGTCAGATTTCTACTAAGGAGGAGACAGCCAACATTTATGGCATACCCACAATGTTTCAGAGACATTGTTTAAAGGATTTAGTTTGAACCTCACAACAACAAACCTGTGATGTATGTACTGTAACTGTATTATATATGAGAGCACCAAGACTTAGAATGGGGAAGCAAAGTGTTTGGTTTCTTGGTTGGGAGCTGGTGGAGAAGAAACGCAAGCCCTGGGCCAGCCCATAGCCTGGCCCTTGGCCTTCACGGCACACTGACTCTCCCACACCACCCTGCGGGAGCATGAACACCAGCTTGAGTGGTGAGATGGTTCCATGCTTGTGGCTCAGCTTTCTTAGGGTGATATATGGTGGCCCTCCTCCTCAGCAGAGTGACCAGAACTCGGTGGTGCTAGCTACATGTGAGAGGCTGAAATGTGAAGTCAGGAATCAGGACAGGAGAGAACACAGCAGATACCTGTGGAATATTTGTCATTTTAGAAACTTTAAACGAACTGCCTGAGAATTCTGGCATTCCCTCCGGAGGAAGCCATGCCAGCACAAACAGCGACCTCCTCCACTTTCAAATTGTAGCAATAATGAAAACTATCTTCTTAATAACAATCCTTACAACAGCGTATGGTTTTCCAGGAAGATAAGCTAAATATTAAAGTGGCTAAATTCTGGGCTCCTTTTGAATATGGCTTAAGAAATTTATGTAGGCTAAAATCTCAGGACAGATCAATAGCACTGTCCTTTGTGGAAAGAGGAGATGAGAAACACCTGTGTGGATGGATTTTGTATATGTGTGTTGGGGTGGGGTGTGGAGGGAAACTGTTCTTTCCCAGTGACATTAGCAAGCTTTCATTTTGGTTTCAGCCTGTAGTGTAATGGTTCTCTATTCTGGCTGCACTAGAGAATCATCTAGGGGCTTAAAAAACCATCAAATGATTGGCTCCACCCAAAATCAATCGACTCTGTATGGTAGAGCAGCAGCTAAGTTCAGGGTGTATGGCAAGGAATATTGGACTTAGGCTATGTGGCGCTGGACGAGTTACTGAATCTCTCTGAGCCTACCTTCCTTTCAGGGCTGGTGGATTGGTAGCACTTGTGAAAAATCTACATTTAAGCCTAATTTCTCTTCCTTCTTTTGAATGTAATGTAATGTTAGTGATCACCTATTCTTATCCCTACACTTGAAGCAGCTATTGTTACACCAAACCTGGGCATTGGTGCGTGAAATTGGGTATTCTTTTATTCTTTTCGCAACACCACACTCTTGCCTCTTTAGTACAGGTACTTCCTATGTAGTAGCCTCTACCACCAGTCAGGGCCATAGATTCTCAGCAAAAGTAGGGTGGGCAGCAGGCTTAGGGTCTGCTCTTAGCAAATGTCCGCTTGGACCTGTAGAGTGTGATTATTTGTCCACAGGTGGCAGAAGACATGCTCTTCACCACTGAGGATAGGGGTGTTCTCTTGCTTTCAGGACCCTGGACAGAGTTTGCTTTGGCTTGTTCATTTGTTCCCAAGTAGAGATAACCTCATCTGCATGCTCTGCAGAGAAAAGGCTGCTTCTCAGAGGCCATATGGAGGCAGTGAATGCCCTCTTGGACCAGGAGGCCTTTCTGGTGCCAGACTCTAGACCCTGCTCTCAGCAATGAGAATAAATAGCTCCTACCTTCATAGAGTTCATATTCTGGAAGGGAGAAAATGAATGCCCACTAAGGTAGGAGGATGAAACAACAGGGCAGATGGTAGTATTTTAGGCGGTGGAGGTCGGGTGAGTGAAGGCCTCTTTGAAGAGGTGACCAGAGCAGAGACCTGAGTGCAGAGAGGGAACAAGGCATGCAAAGTGTTCTTCCTCCACAGAGTGAAAGATAGTGAGGGGAGTTTTCCTAGCAAAAGAACAGTTATGTCTAAAAGTGCTGAAACGAGCATATGTGGATGCTCTCAGAAAAGCAAAAATCTCAGTATGGCTGGAGGGAAATAAGCAAGGGATGAAGTGGATGGGAAGTCATGGAATCTTGTAAGAGTTTATGTTCAATTTTATTATATGGGTGGTGGAACTCCACCAGAAGGTTTGGGGCAGGAGTGTGATGTTTTTATTTACATTTAAAGAATACTTCTGGTGATCCGTAGAGAATAGACAGAAAGAGAGTAAAAACAAGATCCAGGAGATGAGTTAGGAGATGACTTCATGGATCTCAGTGCTGTTCAGAGCTCAGAGGGTCACGACAGAGATTGTAGAAATGGCTGGATTTATAACTTTTCAAAGGTATTTTTGGCAAGATGCATAAGGTAGGTTAAGAAGAAAAGCTAAAATAATCCCAAAGTTTTATATGCTATTTGAATAAGTGACCGGATTTTTTACAGTCAAGTAAAAGATGACACAAATGGGCTGCATCTGATAAGATAGTAGCAAAAAAACAAGTTTGAATTGAGAATGAATAATCTATAAGAAAACATCGGTACATGTTGTATACAAAGAACTTCTGGCCCACAGCTGAGGAAGGCTTAGCTTCTGGAGCCATGAGGTGGTTGCTGGAGTCCCAGGGAGCCAGTTATTGCTGCTGTGAAAATCATCTCAATGTCAAACAGGTACTATCAGGCAGGATTATGCACATGTGTGGGTGCATATGGGTGCATGCATGCATGTGTGTGTGTGCACAGGTGTGTGTGTATGTGTGTGAGTTTGGGGTAGAGTGGTATGACGAGGGCAACAGAGCTAATGAGAAGTTAATGAGAACCAGGGACAGAAGAGAGTCATCTTCACCAAGAAGCAGACAGTTCTTCTCTAAGAATCCCCAAGGGTTAGTGAACATGGAATCTTGGAATACGACTCCAGACACTTACAGCAGCTCTCCTCTCCTTCCACCTCTTTGGAAGCCCTAGGCCACCATGGGTTTGGGAGATAAAAGTCAGATGGGCCTTCAGAACTGCAGGAACCCACTGCAGCAGTGAGGGCATGGGAAGGGAGGGGTAAGAGACATAAGCTTCAAGCCCTGGCAGAAATCCAGACATGTGGAGGGTGAACTTCCAAAGGGGAGGAGGAGAGAAAAAAGGAATAGAAGGTAAGACATTTTCCAGGCAAACCCCTCTTCTTTTTAGGCTCTGTTTCCATTCACAGAGACTAAGGCCCTAGGAAAACTACGAATAGTCAATGAACATGATGCTTAGTCGAGCCCGGAAATGAGTAAGGAATGACCAAGAAAGTCAGCATGCTGGGAGGCAAGAGAAGGTGAGCTGACGCAGCAAGGAGGAGAGAGAGCAGAGAGAGCCGCAGACTCCACCTGAGTCACGTCGACTCGTATGACAGTCTCCATGGGGTCCCACTGCAGGCACCCTTGAGAAAAGATTCCTCATACACTTTTCATCGCTCAAACATCTCTTAAAAACGGCTCAGCCCTGGAGTGCAGCCCATGCCAAAGCAACAAATTGTACCCTCTGTCAGACACGCCTCTGCAGTGGGTGAGAAAGGAGTAATTATAATCTGCAAATCCTGATGACATTCATAACACCCCGATCTATATTTAATAGTAGCAAAAATCGTTTGCATTTACAGCTATTAGGCAGCTCGCTTGTGGGGGGAGGTCCTTCTTCTGTCCTTCTTCACAGCAATAAAGCATAATAAAAAGATGAAAACAAGGCTTTGTGGGTTTAAAAATGATCTCCTTGTAAGAGGTTCTCGTAGTATCATAAACTATCAAATGGCAGCTGGGGAGGTTTGTGGAAATCTTCAAATCCCAAAGTGAAATTGAGGGGATAAAATTCCAAGTCCAGGAAGCTCAGCCTCCCACACCTTCTATAAGCCACTACGGCAGGTACAATGGGAGGAACACTGGTCCTTTTGTGTGTTTCAAATTCCTGATCTTGCTGTCTGAATTTTGATGCTGATTTTGCCTCTAAATATTAATATTTCTCAGTCCTGCCTCCTCTTTTCCTCGTTATGGCCATTTGGCTAGCTCGTGCCCTTTCCATCTCTGGCTTGGAAGGATGACCAGCCCTCTAGATGTTCCTCACAACTTCGTGACAACCCCTCCAATCCATGTTCCACAAGGCTGCCAGCACCCCACCCAAGTCCCCACCCAGTGTCCTTCACATACAGGAAGGACAAGGAGTGAGTTTCTTATGGCGTGAGGTACCCCACACTGAGTTCCTTCAGCCTCCACCTTCCAACACTCAGACGAATCCTTAGTGTTCTAGTAAATCTGCACAGCTCTCTCTGCTGCCCCCACACAGCATTCAGATGCTCAGCTCATCCCCCTGTGCAGCACTCTTCCCTTCCTGTGGCTTGTTTCTAACCCTTTGCCTAATCATCCCTCCTTCCCATGTGGTCCCACAATTCTCTGCTCCTGCTGCCTGGGGATACTTCCACAGGCATCCTCACTGTCTGTTTTCAGGTCACCCTTCCTTCCTAGACAGTGTCTTGTGGTCTTTGCCATCCTGCTTCAGTTCTTGGCCTCTACTTCTCAACTCATGAATCCGTATGAATGCAGATCTGTGTTCTCTAAACCATCCACCTAACAACTAATTCCATAGCACCACTAGTATTGCTGTCACTTCGTGTTTGGTGTGTTCATGCCGTCACATCAAATATGTGTGTCTTAGAAATGTTTCTTAAAGACCTGAACCTCAGAATTCCCCCCAGTACAGTGCCTGGTGTACATTAACAATAACTATTTATCCCTCCTAAAGTATAGAGTGCAGTGGTCACCCGTACGCATTCAGTTATCTGCCTGGCTTGAAGTCTTAGCACTGCGATTTATTAGCTAGGTGATTGTGAGAGTCACTTGTCACTTGTTAACCACTGTTTGTCTCAATTTTCTTTTCTGTAAAATGGGGACAATTATATTATCAGTTTTAGAGGGTTGCTAAAGCAAAGTGAGCAACATTATTTCACTATGTTTATTGGTGCAAAATTACCCTGGGGAAGTCCTGCCTCTCAGTCTTTCAAGTCTTCCAAGGCTGGCAGCTCAGCTTTCTCCTTTACCCAACACCTTTTACATTTAATTTGATCTTCAGAGCTCTCCTTACGTATCCTTTAGTAACCTCTTCTGCTTCGGTCCCCTGCCTAGTTACTCTGAAATTGCAGAGCCTTTGCCCAGGCATTCTCATCAACCCTGTAGGTGGGCTGCATTCCTCCCTTAGAGCAGCCTCCAGGCTCCTCTTCCTCCTTTGGCAACTCAACCTCCCTCCCTGGCCGCAGGCAATGGTGTGGGATGGCAGGACATAGATTTCCAAGCCCAGGATAAGACCATGATTCAGTGTGTATATATAGATTTTGCCCTACATAGATTGCTGGGCTAGTCCCAGAGGGAAGTAGCATGTCCTCAAATTTCGATTCATGACCCGTCTCTACCAATGGTTGGTTGAGTGATCCATGAGTCACATAATTTCTCTGGAATAGTTGATACCTACTTCATGGGTGTCCAGAACTAAGTTAATATTAGTAAAGCATTTACTTTTGGGGGTAGGGAATCCCAAAACATCAAGTAAAGAAAAATGTTAAACAGGAACTGCAGTTAGCATTAAGAGCCTGGAAGTCGGAATGATGCCTAGTTACCTTTATCAACACGAAGCATACACTATGTACCTGGAAAACTTAGAAGGAATAACTTTTAGCTTATTATTTCACGTGTTAAGAGGTTGGGGAGGAAAACAGCACTTTGCTCGAGCTTCCCGCTTACCTCTGCAAAAACAAAGGGTGCGTCAAATTGGAAGCAGACGTGGCCGTGCTTGATAGCTTGAACGGAGGCGGGGCCACACCGAAACATGCCTGCATCACACAGAGGAAGGGTGGCGTGAGTCTGTCATCTCCAGTTCTGGTGTCCACATACTGCAAGATTCATGGCACTGAGGGTGACTCTGTAGAGACCAGTGTTCCCAGTTTCATCGCTGACTTAGTCCAAATGCTTTCCAAGGCTCAAGAGGATTTTGTCGGCCATGGAAATAAATACAAGGCAGCACTATTTCTGCATCTACGCTGCCACCTACAGACACATACCCAGATACATTCCTGCCAAGCGGGTGTCTTACACAAGTATTTATCTCTTGTTCAGGTGGTATCTGAAATGTTGGAAATGTTGACGTGCCCTCTGTGGTTGTGTTGCTGTTGCTGTTTGTTTTGCTTTTTGTCTTTTGTTTTTGAATATCATGAACACATGTCAAGTTTAACTGGAGAATTTGGACATTACTTATGCATTTTGGCCATGCCCACCATGCATTTAGGATGTCAGAAGGCCCATGTTACTCTTCTAAAATATTTCGAATTTTAACCACCTATCCATGGTTAATAAGAGATTAGCTGCCGTTAGTCCCCTCTAAAGTGTTCCCATAACATATATACCAGAACACCAGAAAGTGCTAAACTTTTTCCCTTAAAACCTAAGATTACAGTATGGTTCTATATTATATAAATATGCACTGAATGTTTATGCATGTGTCTGTGTGTACCCATCAATATATCAGCACCTGAGGAAATAAACATAATATCCACAGTCTACTGATTCTTTACATTATCAGATTAAAGAGAGATGGAGGCTTATGATGGGATTTTATAAAAATCTGGAGGAGGTCAGAGCTGCAGCTGTTTAGCATAGTTGGCAAGTTAGAAGACAAATACCCACATACTCCAGCTTTGGAGGAAATCATACGACATAAAAGGAGACCAGGTTCTGGAAAAACAACAATTTAAAGGATGATCTATAATTATGTTTCAAGTTCTCAATTTTCTCTACTGCCTTATATCTTATCAGTGCATACTATGAAGGGCTGAAGTATATTTTAAAGCCTAGTAAAAATGCTTACAGATATTTTCTCTCCTGTCTTCAAAACTGCTTAGCAAAGCAAGAATGGACAAATTATGTTGTTTTATATTCTTTTTCTAAAATTTGTAAAATAATCAGGGGAAAGCTGACTATTGAAATGAAATTAAACCTGATTGGAAGGTAGCTAACACTGTGCATGTGCCCAGAAAGCACGCCTCAGATGTTGGCTCCCAACAGGCATGGTTCCCGCAAATCAAATGCAAGCATAAAGCAAAATAAAGATCAGCAATGAGGCAATTTCCCTGAGGGAGGACACAGTTTTACCATCGCTATTTTCCTGGGGGGTGCTGTCCACAGCTTGCCAGCCTCCAAATCCAACAGGAAGGTCAGGCCTTGTCATCCATGCTTCATTCCAGCAATGGTAGTTCCTTAGAAACACAAACCCAGAGACATTAAACTTCCCTTCACAACCAGTGCGCTGAGAGATCAAGAAGTGATGCCAAATCCTGTTCATATGCCATCTACAGATAATTGGAATGGATTAAGCCAAATCTGGGGGTTCCTGGAAATATTCTGGGGCTCTAGACTTGAGTTATCCAGGCAGATTCATTCTTGTTGGTATCTCTGGGGGCACTCATATGGCTTTATGTCTCTCTCCCCCTGCTAAGAGCAGCTTCAAGGCCACCCAAAGATATTTGAATCAATGCATTAAACAATTTTAATCTTAACCATTCTCTGCTGACTAATGTAACAGAATTTACTATATACCGAATGGGTAGGGAAGAAAAGTTAACCAAAGCTGAAATATTTATTTTGAAATCTTAATATAATTCCCATTTAGAAAAAGCATTTTCCTTTGTGGCAATTAAACAATAAATACTTGTGATTATGGTCTTAGACCACTGCCATAAAAACTATCACAATTATCACCGATTCTAATTTTCTATAATTTTCATCTTGTGTCCAACAAGAAGAATAGGTTGTCAGGGTGAATATCTCTACCCTTTATTAAAGGTGGGAAACTCAGGAGCTAAGGGCCATGGAAAACTTCTTAGAACTTTGAATATGACCCTGGAAGCGACAGCATTGAATAAAATGTCATCATGAATTGTATTATTATGTCCTTGGAAAGACCTGAAATTATATGACAGTACAGAATCAAATGAGAGCACATTAACCCCTCAGCACCATAGAAAATGTTCATATAGTAATAAAGATTTAATAATGCAGTGAGGTAGTTACTGCAGTCTTTGTTTATGGCACTGATGAATTTCAGGTTCAACTACCATGGGTCCTTTCCCTAGACGCCCTTCAATGTCAGCTGTTTGCCCATGCTCCCATCTTTGTCTGAGTGCAGCCCATTTCTGATTAGCTCAAGAGATATTAATTTCACTATGTACCCACTATGCACCAAGCACCTTGCTAGGTGCTGGAGATTCAAAGATGATCGAAGCATAGATTTTCACGCATAAAGTCCCTCACAGTCTAGGAGAAATTACAAACCTGTAAACCAATTATCAAAACTGTCATAGGTTTGCTGTGAGACTTAAATAAGTTAATACATGTATTTCAAACAGGAACTAGCATGTGTTAAGTGTTCAAAAATGGTAATGCTCAGACTTCAAAAAATAATTAATTTAAATGATCCATGGTAAAATGGAAGTTCGTTTGGGATGCCATGGAATCTCAGTGGAGCAAACTGTCAGGATATTTGGGAAGTGGTATTTGAGCTGAGGCTCAAAAGATAAATGGGAGTTTAGGGGGTCAACAAAAGGAGGAAGAACAAAGTTGCAGTGGCATGAAATAGCCACCATGGTGTGTCTTGGGAACTGTCTGCTGTGTGTTGTGGCTGAAACATAGCACATTTGAATATTCAGGTGCATAGGAGGAGAACAGTGATGACAGCCAATGCATAGAACCAACAAATACACATAGCATATCATAAGTGCCAAGTGCTGTTCAAAAATCCTTATGCATGTTAACACATCTGATGTCCTAGTACTCTGTAAGAACAGTCTATTCTTTGAAGATAACACTAAAGGCTTTGGAAATTGGGGCTGCAGAAATTCTAATAGTCTATAAAAATCTGGATATAATGATATATGTTCTTCATTGCCAAGGCACAGAAGAGGAGAAAATTCTCTAACTCCAGAGCAAGAAAAGGATAAATCTCATTTCACAAAGAGACAAGACAGGAACATAAGTTTATTGAGAGCATGCCTCAGTTGGAATGGTTTGCTAACAATTATAAGCAATTTGGAGCTACGTTGGAAATTGTCACAGATAAATCACAAGAAGGATCTCAGTTTGTGAAGGGATTTGACAGAATTGGAGGTATCCTGCGTTACGAGTAGATTTCAGGGAATGGAATACCAAGGAGGAGACAATGAATTTTTTGACCTTGATGACTACTAGGTAGTCCACAGGGATCCAGCAAAATGGGCCTCAGTCTCCAGCATCCAACCCAAGGAGCATATCCATGGTGGAATCCAAACAGATCCCTGCCTTACAATTGGCACATTTCCTAAACTGAATCCATGAGCATTGGATACTGAAAAGAAAACCGAAACAAAACCAGACCCAACCCTACACTTCTGTTTGTCATGGTGTTGCTGCAGCAGCCTCAGTGGAGTGAAGTGTCCTGGTATTTGGGAAGTGATATTTGAAGTGAGGCTCAAAAGATAAATGGGAGTTTAGGACTAAGTTCCTAAATGCCACTTTGGACTAATTTTAAGAAAGGATCCCAGTTTATACTTTGACTCGATGGTGAAATTGGCTGCTCTTGTCTTTTATGAAAAACAAAAGGATTTTTTTAACCTTCATACATAGAAGCAAAAATACTTTAACTGCTGTAAACCTTTAAAAGTTAATAGAAATGAGATCATACTGGTTTGTTTCTTATTTTGATTGGAGAAAAATTAAATTGCTGCATTTCACAGTGACCCATTTACATGGCATTCTCAGCTTAGACTGCATAAGAAGAAATACATGCGGTGAAATGTTGGAACCATTTCTCTCTTGGTCTCTGTTTAATGTTGAAAGGGTGAGCTAATAGGAGCCAATTTCAACTTCACTCCCTCATGCTACCCACCGCCCCCCACCCTAGACTGGCAGTTTAAAGGATGCAAATTGCATTGCAAAATCAAACTGACTCATGAAGCATTTGGGTCGGTATACTGTTTACTTCCATCTGTTTGCAGACACATTTGTACCCAGCGTTTGGGAACCCTTTGTATTAATGTTCTGACAAAGGTCCCTATAACCTTAACCCACTCGAAACCAATTTGAGATGGATATGATGGGGCTTGGGCTTCTGTGCTCTTGCTGGGATAGGGAGAAATAAAACATGCAATTTAAGTGGAAGTGAAGAAATTTAAAGAGGGTTTTATTTTGCTTGGGTCAATCCCTGTTAAAAGGGAGGTGGATGTGTTTTCCTTGTGTTGGATGGCATGAGATCATGTGAATGTTTTGATTTAGTAAAATGAACTGTAAGGTTTTTCACAGGAACAACAGACGTGTATGATTGCAAGTAATGATAAACTGCTGACTGCCTGGTGGGGCTGGAGCATCTGTTTCAAATGTGGGACTTACAAGAACCTCTCACATGAGAAATTAGGGATGGGTTGGAAGAGATGGGACACAGCTTCTGGCACCATGGACTTAAGACCATGTTGGACCCAAAAGTTGGCCTGAAACCCTGAAACTTATGCTTCACAGTTGGTGTGTAAGTCAGACTTGAACCCAGCTGACATGCAAGGTCATGGCTTGCCCAAGCTGGTGACAGTGAACAAAGTGTATAGTATGTGCCCAGTGGTAGCAATGGAAGAAAGTATACCAAATGGACTTTGAAGGACCAAAGCTTTTTTTTTTTTTTTTTTTTTTTTTGAGACGGAGTTTCGCTCCTGTTACCCAGGCTGGAGTGCAACGGCGCAATCTCGGCTCACCACAACCTTCGCCTCCTGGGTTCTGGCAATTCTCCTGCCTCAGCCTCCTGAGTGGCTCAGATTACAGGCATGCGCCACCATGCCCAGCTAATTTTTGTATTTTTAGTAGAGACGGGGTTTCACCATGTTGACCAGGATGGTCTTGATCTCTTGACCTCGTGATCCGCCCGCCTCGGCCTCACAAAGTGCTGGGATTACAGGCTTGAGCCACCGCGCCCGGCCAGGACCAAAGCTTTTAAAAGTCAGTTGGTATCACCTCCACACTGACTAGGGTAGTGGGGTGCATTTGGTTTTCAAAGTGATTACTTATAACACTTTAGTGCCTGACTACGGTTCTTTACTTGATTCAGTCACTCGTAGCTTTATTGGTCTGAACCAGATCCTTGTTCCCAGGTTACAGACCTGCCTATCGTTCCAATAATCCTGTTTCACTTGAATGAAGGGAGTATGTCTTCAACGTAAAGTTTCTGGTTCTCACACTGTACTCTGAGGTCCAAATGCTGCCTGCCAATGTGTAACATGACGTCTCAACCCCCAGTGAGAAGAGTCTATTCTCTGGTGTTCACCAACACGGGACACTTCAGCAGAACAGGCTTTTATGCTTTGGGCTCTGCTATTTGTTTGCAGAACACCCAGGAGCGAGCAAACATGCTCTCTTCACAGCAGTACCTTAGGGTTTTGCCATTGTAAATGGGTCTGATGTGATATGACAAGACCAGAGAAATTGGATATAAATTTACATTTTTGAATATGCTTGTTGTTTCACATGATACATTTCAGGTATATAGCTCCTTTTGTGGTTTTTATTTTTACTATTTAAGTTTGGAAATGGTGCCAAATTTTTGTATTTCTTTAATCAATGTGTTCTCTTCAGTGATATATATTGCAGTATATACTGAGGTGTGTGTCAAATATATTAATATTTATTACACTTACACATACAAACGCAATTAAGGGGAGGTGAAAACCATAGCCTTTGCAATCTCTATAGCCTCTACAGACAGATTCAAAACAGCAAAATCTTGGTGTTGTGATGAACAGAAATGGAGAAGAGTATTAAACCATATTTAAGAAAAGACAAAACCATTCTATTATAATTATCCCCAGTTTATAGGGGAGGAAGTTGAAACCCGGGAAGGTTAAGAACCTTGCTGAGGTCACACAGTTAGTTAACGATAGAGCTCTGACATCCATGCTCTTCAACAATGAGCTATGATATAGGTGAGGAGAAGATTGTGAAATCCTTTGATGTCAAATTAAACATTTGGGCTTTATTCTTAGGCAATAAAAAGCCATTGGAATAATTTAAGAAGAAGAGGTAAACTTGTCAATCTCTGTTCATGAAGATGGATGGAGAGACAAGGCTGGAGGTTCAACTAAGTCCTCCCCTGCTGCCGCCCACCCCTGAAGAACTGCAATAGTCTGCAGTGGACCAGAAAGGCATTCAGGTCGCCATCATCATGAAGAGGGAGAGGAGCCATTGG